TCTGTATCTAGCTCTAAACTTTCCTGCTGAGGGATAAATCAGGTTTATCTTAACCCACGTCTGCTTGTCTGATGTTTATCCAGCAGAGGGCGCAAGATTACTTCTTTTTGGAGACGAGTGCATCCACCGGATAAATTTCCTTTCAACTATTTCTTTTTTTTTTAAAGTTCAAAACGCGTGAAGCGGTATCAAACATTAGCACGAATGCTACATCAAGCTAATGCTACAGTAGCGGCTAGCTTACCTGTGACGTCTGTCTCGTCAACACTTTAAAACTTCTACACCGGAGGCAGACGGAAGACGCGCTCGCTCTGCTTTAGTTTAAGAAGTCACCTCTAAAAACACGACACGCTGTTTTCAGGCCAGTTCCTGCTGTCGGTTGAAACTTTCGGTCGAGACACGCCTTCCGTCCGCCCGCCTGCTCGCAGCTCGCTCGCTCGTGCGCGTGCGTCGCCCTGTCAGTTAACAGCTGCAGCTCGCGCTCTCTCTCTCCGTGTGTGTGTGGAGGCTCGCGGCGGCGGTGGCGGCATGTGTAGCTGGGCAGGAGGCGACTCCGTTTGACCAGCAACCGATTATTGATTATTATTTTTTTTCCCGCGAACAAGAAGAAGAAGAAGAAGAAGAAGAAGACGGGCCTTCATCGCGGCGGCAGCGCGTCCGAGAGAAGCTCCTCTTTTGACAGCAGAGGGACAGAATAATGAGAATAGTGGATCTGGGCTCTGGTTGTAGGTACCTCGCGGCAGAAGCACTCCGAAAGGTAAGCGACCCCCCTCCATGTACTGTTTGTTTCTTGGTAATGATTAACGCTGGAGATGTGGGTGGCCAAAACTTGTCTCTTTATCTGGTTTTGTGTGGTGGTTTTTAAATTCACCCCATGAAGGAAGCGCACAGTTGTAACGACTAGGAGCACGTGCACGGCTGCTTCAAGTGTGAATAATACAGCTTTTTATTTAAATATATATATATTGGAGAGCAGTTTACTGTAAAAGAGTAGATGGCCAGAGTCTGTGGTTGGACAGTGAATGTGCAGCTTCTCTTTGGGAATTTCTCCTCCTGCATCACTCACTCTTCACGGGCTTTTCCAAGCAGTTAAAATGACATGTTTAGGATGGAGAGAAATGTGTTTATGATGGACCTCAATTATCGGGTTATGCACTCCATCCAACAGTAGCTCTTTTTTTTACCTTACAATGTCTGCCTCCATCTCTCTGTTTATGTTTTCTTCATGTATTCTTAGTTATGTGTCCACATCAGAATCATGGATTTTATAGTGGTTCTTGTCAGGGGTTTTTCTCTTTTTTTTTTACCCCACATAGCCACTGCACAGACACAGAAGTAGGCCAGTAGCTGGTCTGTATGTCATGTCATGCCAAGCGTGGTCCCCCTCTGGAAGGTTAACTGTGCTGGTTCATGTGTGGGGTGGGGGAGGTTACAGACAGTCTGAGTGAAAGATCTCCAGCAGGATCCAGGCTCTCATCCTCTGGCAGATGTCTGGTAGTCTTTGTTTTACTGTCATCCACCACCACCACCACCACCCCCTCCTCTTTGCTATGGTTTTGTTGTCAGTGTAGTGTAACAGATGTGCAAGGCCAGTTCACATCACCCACATTTTAAATACATGCTGTTGTTAATTGGTGTACAGCATTGTGAAGGCATTTGTGTGTGCAGTTGTGTCCTTAAAGATCTAAAAAATTTCCCATCTTCTTGCTTGCATTTCTGCAATTAAAGCCTCAATGGCTTCTAATTTACTACAACTTGGCTGCAACCATGTTTCCAGCAGCATCACTTTCCACCTTGGACCACTAACAATGAAGGCGAAGCACTCGGTCAGAAACTAGGGAGTCGTTTTTGATCACCGCTTCAATTTAAACCAGCATCAAGGCTTTAGTTCCCTCCTGCTATCAACAAAGCTGAAGTATGGCCACCGAACGCTGTCCAAAAACGCTGTTGGACAACTTATCTATACTCCCTCATTTTGTTCCCACCTGGACAACTCACTGTTCATTTGGCTTAACAACGCAGCAACTGCTAGTTTAAAGTGGATTCAAAACTTAGCAGCCAGTCTCCAGTGCTTTCTATTTGTTGTAGACTTAAATTTGTGGATTTTCTCCGTCGCTTTTAAAGTATATCTGGCTCCTGAACCTTTTGCCCGTCATTCTGCACGTAGACCTCCAGATCAGACAATCAGCTGCTGCTTATCAGTCAAAGCCTAAAACAAAGAACAAACCTCCCAAACAACTTTGCTCAGAAAGCTTTTAAAAGACAAGCATTTGTATCCTATTTTATATCTTTTCTAATATTTTATTATTGCATTTTTAGTGTTTTATTGTTCCCTTTAAATGCACCTGAAACACCTTGTAGCTCCTGTTTTGAATTGTTTATTCTAATTAGAGAAGTTTTTTTTTATACCGACGAGGACAAAAAGTTATTTTCTGCTTTGGCGTACATGCACACACTCACAGAGTTTTGTATTGTTTGTGTTGTTGCTATGTTCAGTGTTTAGTGTGTGACACTTTCAGTTTGATGAGGAAGCTTCACCTCAGAAGGATGACCGCACTGCTGCTGTACTTTTTGTGTGTGACGGTCACTTCGGCATGTCACAATCCCGTCCATGCCTCGTGGTTTTCTGTGTCCCTCCTGTCTGGTTTTCATTGTCAAATGGTTTGATTTCTGTTCAAATCAGGAAGAAAAAAAGAAAATCCGTAAAGAGATTAGGTCCAAACGCTCTCTTATGGCAAATAATCCCTCCTCCCAGTGAACTTTGTGTCTATTTACAACTAGAGCTTTATTTTTCAGAAGATCTGATCAGATGTACACGTGTCCTCTCTTTTATTGAGCCAGAGTAACTGTAAATACATTCTTCTTAATGTATATTTTCATCATCTCCAACTCTATTGAAGGCCTTAGCTTTAATCAGGAGTTCAGCTGTGCAGTTTGACTATAAGAAATGAGTTCTTAAACAATGGTCTGACTCCCCTCTGTGATGCCAACAGGATGTCAGCCACGTGTGAAGCAGAGCATGTGAGCCATAATTTTGTTTCTGTGAATGGGCCTCACTCTGCTACATTAAGCCTTTTTTAGCGCTCAAGAGTTGGTGATTAAGTCTTTTTAAAATTTTCTATCGCAAATTCACACTTAAGCGCTAAAAGACGTCGATGCAGGATTCTTGTCTGGATGCCGGCTTTGCGTCGGCGCTGCAAATTATCGCGTACTCGTAAAGTTTAGTTGGCACAGCTGCAGAGAAATTAGTCGGTTAGTTTGGTGGTAGTTTGACTCAAATAATACTTCAGCTTAATCTCACTCTCAGGTCACATTTAATATCTATTTGTGGTCCTCTTATAACTCTTCAATCGGCAGCATTCATTGTATTCGGCTGCGATAATATTTTCTCAGTGCAGAGAGGCAACAATAGCCTTTTTGTCTGCCTGAATGGCGGCTTTATGATAGAAGTCCTACAGATGCACCAGTGTCACAAAACGCACCAAATAGTGAAGCCTTTCGCCGACCGTGAAACAAAAACAGAAAGGCTTCAGCCCTGCCGTGTGACTCGTGAAATGTCCTTTTCAGTTTTTGTGTTTTCTTTTCATTTGTCTCAGAAACGTAGCCTGTAGCGTCCACTCTTACTTCATTCAGCGTGACCGAGTCCTGGAGCTCGTGTCACAACACATTGAGTGATAAGCAGACCGGTCATCTGTCTTTTACACGTCTACAATATAGACACGCAGTCACACTCACGCCTACGTGCTATTTTGAGTTTCCCATTCACTAAACCTGCATGTGTGAAATCTTTGCAGCCCTGACGAGAGCAAAAAGTCCGCACAGAAGAGCCGAAGCAGTCTAGTAGATTTAAACTAGTCACGACAATGTGATGCCTGCATATTTAGACAGCCATGAGGATGATTGTGAATGTTTTCTAAGAGGTAATAGTAATTAAGACTGTAGTTATGGTGGCCATAAGTAGAAACATGTTTTAATGCTAGAACAATCTGATAATGTCAGAAAACTGCCACTTCATGCAATCGTAGGTCTAAAATTCAACATTTTAGCAATATAGCAACATTACAGGCCTTTTTATTTATCTATTTCCATCTCTAGTTTGTGTTTTATTATACAGACAGCGTATTTTTTAAACCTCACCATCTAAAAGTTTTGTCAATCAACTAATTCTAAGTTAGATTTGGACAACTGGTTGGACTAAAAGCATATTTTATAGACGTAATCTTGGACATTGTTTTCCACTTGTTTTTCTTACATTTCATCGACTGAGTGATTGCTAACATGACTGATCAGCTGGAGATGAAAACAATGGCTGTCAGAGTGTGACCGTCATCCTTTACCGTCATGTGTTCGTTTATCAGGGGAGCCTGTGACAGACATGCGACTTGTGCACGAGCTAGTTTGTCTCTAAATTACCCAAACCCGTCTCCCACACTGGGGCATTAGTGAAATTGAGGTCGCACTACTGTTGGCGATTCTGAATTGTCACTCAGGCTGAAAATGCCACTGAGGACATGAGAGACGGCCCCGTGGGGATAATAGCTGAACAGTTTGTGTGTGTTTTTTTTTTCTGGGTATTTGTGTAAAGGCTAAATTGGGCTATCTTGGAATTTCCCCCTTATGATTGTGTCTTGTTTGTGTATTTTTTAGATGCCACTTTCAATTTGTTTTTGCTCCAAATACTTAACCTCCTTCTGTCGCTGAACCGCGGTGAAGTTACAGTTTCCCTCCGGTGTAAGACGGCTGCTACGTAATCCCGTGTTTCTGTCCTTGTAAACACAAGTACAACATGAAAACTACCAAATCACCACCAGTGGAGTGCGCATCAGTGAACCCAGCGTAGCTCCTGTTTAGCCTTTGCCTTGTGACCAGCTGACTGGGCTTTCCTCATTATCGTGTCTATGTGTCTTGAATTATTTAATGTGCTCGGCATTGTGGTATCCAGTGTGTGGTGGGCGTGTTGTTGTGGTGTACGCAGAGTGGAAGCTGCGTCAGATCATATGTGGTGCCGATGACCTGCTGCTGTGGAAAGAGGTTTGTTCTGCAGAAAACTAGTAGAATTTGGCAGGATATTTTTGTAAATGGTTTGGGAATTAAAAATAGCGTGACTGTCAGCCTGCTGTCGCAACTTCCCTAAAACTCTGCATGTCTCTCTTTTGCATTTCTTAATTGTGTAATAAGAATTGTCCAACTTCATATTTCAATGCGAGCTTACAAAACTTTTCTAATGTAACAACAGCAGTTATTTTAACTCTGCGTGAAGTTTTCCTCCAGCTCCACCGCCTGTATTATGACTGAATGCTTGCCAGGAAGAGGATCCATTTATGAGAATGTGGCTTTCTCAGCAGGATCCCGTGGTTTTGTGTTTATGAATACTGTTCCCTTGACATTCCTGTCCTCCTCATACCACCCCTCGAAAAAGTGCTGCCACTCTGGGAAACAAGGCCTCTCTGACAGGCCGGCTACTCGAGCATCTATAACTTTGTGTGGTCATTGTTATAATTAGACACCCCTCCACCGCCTCCGAGGCTCTGACCCAGAGGCTGTTCTCAGACTGGGTCAGATGCTGCAGGCTGAGGTGAGCCCCCTTCCTCCGATTCCATGTTGTTATTTCCTTTGTCAAGACGGGGACAGGGATAGGTAGTGTGGGATGGTGAATGTATGTTGTCGGTGAATATATGTTCTCTTTGGAAAAAAAAACAATAAGGCCGAGGGATAGTGGGCCAGGACAGAAAGACCCCTTGGGGATCACAAGCTATT